ATTATATCTACTAATATAAACCCCTCGATAGGTTTATCCCTTAGGAATAACACCGGTCGTTATATAAGTACCTAGGCTTTATTATCTATACCGGCATAGGTATATAGGCGGATCCTATAAAGATCTAGGCGATTTAAGACTAGGCTACCCTAACTATATAGATAGGCGTACGGAGCTTCCTTAGGTTCGCGAACTATTATAAGATATTTATTAAGGGCTTCTCCTATATTATAATGCCCTTAAACGAGATTACTAGGAAGCAGACCGCCTTTTACTAAGGGCCTATATAGGAAGGAGCGTTCTATACGCTTAAGGACCTATTCTCTTAAGCCCCGGTGCTACTTTAGTAGGACTTTAACCGGTTTACGTTAGTTAAAGCGGACTATAGCGGCTAGGCACTTAAAGGAACGCTCTCCTAGGAGGTAGATAGGCGGAAGTAACTAGTAGCGTTTTACTCCCGTAAGCTAACCCTAGTAGAGCGGAATTACGCTATTTACGATAAGGAGATACTAGCGATTATTAGCTACCTCGAGCAATAGTAAGCGGAGCTCCGGAGCTATAAGAGCTTCGAGGTTCTTATAGACTATAGGAACCTTAAGTACTTTATAACTCGCTAGTACCTCTTAGAGCGGTAAGCCCGCTAAGTAGAGTATCTCTTACGCTTTAACTTCTCGATTAAGTACCGGCTAGGGTAGGACTCTATAGTCTTAGATACGCTTTCTTAAAAGGATTAAGACCGGCCGATAAGAGCGGATATCGAGGCCTAGGATCTATAGCTTATCCTATAAGAAGCGCTACGGACTTATATAGGAGCTTCCTTAGTAGAGGAAGGCGCGGCGCTAATAGATAAGCCTTCCCTTATACCTCTACCTTAGCCCGGCGAGGAGGGATAGACCGGCCTAAGGGCGCGTACGGCGCGGGTATTCTAAGATAAGGTCCCTAAAGCTAAAGGTATAAGTAGCCGACTATTATATCGACCTATAGGGGCACCTACGTTAGCGGGGGAGACTATAGGTGCCGGGCGCGCTATATACTATAGAAGCTAAGGAGAAGGATAGACCGCCGGAGCTAGATAAACGGAACGAGCTCCGAGGGAAGCTAGTCTAGCTCGTCTATAACTCTAGTATCGTAGGCTACTTAGGTAGGCAGGGCATAGTAGTAGGCCTTGCAAGGGATTTCTACTAGCCCCTCCTATAGTACTACGTTCGCCGCTTCCTCTATAACTATAATATCTATAGCCGTACTAAGATTTAAAGGGCGTAGCTTAAAGGGCTACTTAAGTAGCTTCTAGTGCCCGACCGGTTCTATATATATATATAGATAGACTTTATAACGGACCTCCTACTTATAAAGGGCGGCAACCGCTATATATAGGTAATTAAGGACCGACTTAATAAGTCTATAGTATTAAAGCCGATACTATCTATAGATATAGAGTCTTACGTAAAGCGCTTCCTATAATACTAGGCCCGCTTATATAGCTAGCTAGCCTCTATTATAAGCGATAGGGGATCGAATTAAACTAGCTGCTTTTAGTAGTACCTATACTAGCTACTTTAGATTACGTAGCTACTTAGTATAGTATATTACCTATAGACTAACGGAGGGCCTAAGAGGGTTAACTAAGAGGTATAGGCTTACCTATAGGCTATCGTAGCTTATAACTAAGTAGACTAAGACCGTTAGCTCCCCGCGGCCTAACTTACGTTAAATAGTAGACTATATACCTCTATTAGGATAGCCCTTTTCTTTATAACGTATAGCTTCGAACTACCCTTATTAGTTCCCTTTACCGTAGATATAGTAGCGGAGTAGTATAGCAATTTATTACTAGAGGGCCGCGCCTCCGCGTTCGTACGAAAGCTATAGGAGACTATAGATTATTACTAATCTACGATAGCCGCCATAGCGTAAGATTAAGAGCGGCACGCTAATAAGACTAAGGCCCTAGTAGATAGGTTTACGGTAAGAGATAAGGTATAGCTAGACCTCCGTAACTATAGGTCGGCACGGCTAAAGAAGAAGCTTAACTAGCTATATACGAAGTTTACGGTATAGAGGGTTATTAGCCTATAGGTTATAGAGCTCGATAGTCTCCTAATAAGGGTCTATAATAAGATTAACGTAGACCTCCTTTATAGAGCCTCCTTCAACCCGCTGCCTAGATAAGAAGTAGCAGACGCCTAACCGCCTATAATCGAGGTAAAGGGAGAGGACGAGTTTAAGGTTAAAGAAATATAGGCCGCGCGCTAGAAAAAGGTTAGTAGGGGGAAACGCTAGGAGGTCCTCGTTAAGTAGCGCGGGTATCTCGACCTTACGTAGGAACCTATATATAAGTTTACGGGAACTATAGCCCTTAATAAGTTCGAAGCCTTATTTAGAACGGTAGATAAGAACGATAAACTAGCGGACTACCGATAGTAGCCCGGGCTAAGACTACGAAGTAGGTATAGCGGAGGGGGCAGTTACGGTAATATAGGCAATATAAGCGTAATAGTATAGGCAGAGATAAAAATAGTATTTATTATAGGGTAGAGCCCTTAAACTACCTAGGCCTATTCCTTATCGTTATTATTATTATTATCTTTATTATCGTTATCCTTATCGGCCTCCTCCTTCTTATTAGCGGCGGCGGCGGTCTCTAAGGCGCTAAGGTAGCCCTCTAAGCCCGTAAGCTAGTCGGCGGCGGCGGCGGCTCCGGGGGTAGAGGGGCGGCGGCTAGCGGCGGCGGTAGGGGCAGCGGCGGTAGCGGAGGCGGGCACGGCTAAGGGGACCGCCGATAGGGCGACGGAGGCAGTATCCCTAGCGCCGGGTATATTAAAGGCGGAAATAAGGGAGCGAAAGAGTAGGACTTACTTAAGCATAAGGCCCTATCGCTCGAGGGCGCGGAGGTTATAGTAGGCGGCGGCGGCGGCGGTAAGGCGCTTCTTAGCAGCCCCCCGCGCCTACCTATATAAGCCGGCCTTCTAAGCCGACGCCGTAGCGAGTAGGACGGGAGGCGCCGCCTTATAGGCGCGGCCGGCTCGCGCGCACTAGTAGCAGCTGCCGCCGCGGCGGCGCCGGCCTAATCGGGTAGTCAGCTCTACGACGTATAACGTATATAGGGGCCGAGCGGGCGGCGCCGGCTATGCCAGCGCTTATACTATAAGAGGTTAGCGGATAACGTCTATTACGCTTGCCTAACTACGGACTTACGGGGGTAGCGGAGATAGAGGCGGGGGCCGAGGGGCCGGGCGTTATAGGTAGCGGCAGGGACGGCGTCGTTACCTTAAGGGGCGACGTAAGAGCGAATAGCGTAGTAGAGGCGGCGGCGGCGGCGGTAGGAGCGGTAGCAGCGGCGTAGGTAGGAGCGGCGGTAGCGGCGGAGTCATCGTCGGCCGCGGCTAGCACGGCATCGACGAACGACTCTATACGCTCTAAGAAGGAAGAGGTAAGAGAGGGAGAGGCGGATATATCTATCGCGGAAGTTAGTACGATAGAATACGGCCTCCCGCTCTATAAGGCGCGGAACTTATTAATTAAAGTTATTATTATTATTAAGGCTATTATTGCTACTACCGCTACTACTATAAGTATATATTAATAGAGCGGCCCGTATAGCTAAGAACAGACTAACGCCCTAAGTAAAGCGGAACTTACCTATTAATACTACTACTACGGTTAAAGAAAGAAAAGAAGGAAAGGAAGGGGGAAAGGGGGGATGCCGCCTTATATTCCCCTTAGTAGAGGATACTACCTAAGGTAGAGGAGACGGGCAACCTAAGGCTTATATAGGTCCGGACTAGCCGCCGGCTACCTAGGGGCGTATATAATAGGTTACGCCCTTATTTAAATGGCTAGCTAGCTAACGAGTATAGAGCTAGGTCCCGGCTGCCCGGGCTAATAAGCGCGGGGATAATAGGGCTAGTAGGGCCGGCCCTATTAACGGGAAAGGGTAGGGAAGAGCCCGCGGTATAGGCCTAATTATACGGGAGCCGTTAATAGGGCAGCGCTACGCCGCGCTCGAGGGAGGGCATTATATAAGAGTCTTTAACTATTATAGGTAATAGGCTTAGGCCGCGGCCTAGCTATATAGTTATATACGGAGGCCGGATCCTATAAGTATAGGGGCGGGCTAGCCGCGTATAGAAGAGCTCTATATAGCTTATTAATATTATCCTATAGACGGCACCTATATATACGCCTCTGCCTACTCCGTAATAAAAGCTCTCTTATATACTAAGCTATTATTTCTTTTAAAAGAAAGGAATCGATATCGTAGTCTTTAAGCGGTTTAAGTATTATATAAAGCGCCGCTTAGTTATCGTCCTCTTTATCCTAGCTTAGAGGGATGCCCTAATTATATATATCTTGCCTATAATAGAGGTCTATTAGGATCCTAGAAAGAATATATTAGCGATTTCTTTATATATAGATCTGTTACGACCCGACCAACGGATGTTACGACCCGACCAACGGATGGCCATGACACGGGCCAGGGATGACTAACCGCTGAAGGATCACGTGACCATGCGAAAGGTGATCGGTGGATCGCCTTACGATCAAGCGAGCGGTGCTCGACGGATCGTTCATCGATCAAGGTGATCACCTCTGTGATCACCTCCAGCACTCGCGATCAGAGACGGGCAGTTGGGTATATAGCTGCCCCATTTCACTCCTTTAGACTAGATAGCTCTTTAGCTTTCAACACAATCATTACGATCCCTATCACGATCTCATCTCTGATTCCGATCACTTGATTACCTGGTTACAGTCTACGGTCTACGACCTCCGACTCATCACCAACGTGACATACTTATCATTGCTCAGACCACGCCCTGTTGTATCTGCCAACATAAACCCGACAGGTTTATCCTTGGGAATATCACCGGTCGTCACACGTTGAAAGCTCTTGTTCAGAACGATACCGCGTCTCTCTGAGCAATATCGCATAACTGTCAACATGCCTGCACAGCAAACTGGATCAACCAACTCGGGACACCGTGTCGCCGCAGGACATGATGCGCGAAATCATCAGCCTTCGACAGGAGGTCCAAGTGCTCAGGAACGGAGGAGGCAACGGACAAGTCAGGGACATCGGAGAAGCAGTCAAACCAAAACAGCCAGGACCATTCGACGGTACTCATGGCACGCTTCGAGACTTTCTCACCCAACTCAAAGCCTACCACCGATTCTATCCGACCAAGCTCTCGGACCCAGTCGAAAGGGTACTCCACGCAGGAAATTGTTTATCTGGAACGGCACTCGCCTGGTTTGGACCCATCATGAGGACTTTCTCGACAACCAACCAGCGCGACGAGACAACGAGACAGACGAAGTCTTTGCCAGTTTCAAGGATTCGAAGAAGCCATTACGAAGGTATTCGGAACAACCGACGAGGAACGAGAGGCCGAACAGAAACTTCGAGAACTCCGACAAAGGATCTCAGCATCGGATTATGCTGCGAAGTTCCGTCAAGTCACCTCAAAGCTTGATTGGGACGACGAACCTCTTATGTCACGATTCTACGACGGGCTGAAAGAAGAAGTCAGGACGAGCTCTACAAGGAAAATCGACCTGACAACCTCTCGGACTACATTGCTATGGCAGTACGAATCGACGACAGACAGTATGCGCGACGCCAAGAAAGAAACAAGGAAGAGGAAACTGGAACCCTTCCTATGGGAACAACTTTAACCGACGCGCCAACTACAAGAAGAAGCGCGAAACTCCATTGCTTACGCCCACACAACTAACCCAGGCAAAATGGACCTGGATGCAACAAAGAAGGGCGAAGGAAAATGCTTCAACTGCGGGAAAGTTGGACATTTCTCACGAAATTGCAAGCAACCTCGCAAGGAAGAAAGTTCACTGGGCCCCAGCCCCAGAAGGTAAGAGACACCTGAACGCTACTAACAAGCAGGAACCAAAGCATGAACTCCTTAGTTGGACTGCATGCTACGACGACAAATGCACGGTACACCTAAGCGACAAAACGGTACCGGATGGTTCCCAAAGCCACCAAAGAAACCCTTGCAATGGTGCAACGAAGAGATCCCACAACACAGAAACAAGTCAAATTCGCAGAACCAGAATACCCCTATCCTGAAGGAGTCTCACAAGACTGGATCAGGAAGAACGGCAAACGATTCCAGGAAGACATGCGAAATAAGGATCGACAACAACGACGGGCAGTCTATAAACAACATAACAAAGAAGATACGGACGCAGCCCTTATGCTCACGAAACTCGGACAACAACCCGAAGAGGAACAACGAAGTTTCGACGACACAAGCTCTGAAGAACAAGACACGCTACAAGAAACAGAAGACGAGGATGAACTCGCACCACCACCCTCACTACTAAGGGAAAACGCCACGATTGGAGAACACGCTCCATACTTCGAAGAATTCGAAGAAATGCTCAAAATGGAACTCAACAAATACCTCAAATTCTCACGGAAAACCAACAAGCTGCATTGATTCGATACCAACCGGCACCACGCGGAGGAGACTACGCTGTGGCTATCGCCGCGGTCGACACCTTTACAGCTCTACAACGAGAATGGCAACCACGAGGAGAATTTTCAGATGACCCAAGAACAGTGCTCAGTCACGAAGAGCACAAACATATTTCATGGATCTCATGCGTCTATTTGGACTGCATGATACACTTCAGAAGAAGGCACGACACAACGCTTTCCCAGTCAGATTCGACGGACAAATACTTTCGAAACCCTACCTAAGCACGGAACTGGACTACTGGAAAATCGATCAACGTTACCCGAACGACCAAGTCATGTTATTGGAACCCGATTACGGCACGCCACTTGAATGCCGCGATGATTACGGTTCTTTAACGAGATGTCTTTCGGAAACATGCAAAATCCACAAACACGCCAAAATTGGGGAATGGCACAACGCCACTCGCTCTAAGGCATCCGAACCATCTATCTTCACAAGACTCGCGCAACGAATCAGATGCGACGAAGAAGATTACAACGAATGTGCACACGAACTGCAAAGTTCACGAACACGAAAAGGCACGAGCATGGCACAAACGACACAACGGTGCACCAAAGGACTACTGGCGACACCTACGAAGGCTACAAGCTACATTCGACCAAGGAAAAATTAACGCAGAAGAACTACGCGCAAAACAGAAAGACGCAGAACGAAAACTCGATTCCTGGTACGAAAACGAACAGAATTGCGAAGCACGGTACGCAATCAACTGCGAAGCAGCACAATGCAAACAACACAGCGTTGAGAAACAAGAAATCTTCGATTGGCTACAAGAAATCAGTCTCTTGAGCCCCGACACGACACCACGCGACGAAAACATAAAGAAACGATATCAACAACAAATCGAAGAATACCCAAATGAAACGAATAAGGACCAGGCAAAAACGAGGTACGCCATCTGTAAAGGGCTACAGACTGGCACGACACGACAAGATCCAAGGACCCTATGCATGGCAACGGCAAGCCATGGCAACCAAATGGTATTGGACATCCAAATCGCGGGACATCACGTACACGCACTATTGGATTGCGGCGCGATGGGCAATTACGTTTCACCTAGAGTCATCAATCGTTACCGACTCCCATGGAGACACAAGAAAGATCCATATGAACTCACGAATATCGAAGGAGAGGCCTTCAACTATAACAACGGAATCATTGATATGGAGATTGATCACCTCGACATCAATATCCAGGGCCACGACGAACGAGTCGACTTCGACATCATGGACATTGGAGAACACGACCTTGTGTTAGGGCTTCCATGGTTACAGGAGAGCAACCCACTGATCAACTGGAAAACTGGCCAGCTGCGTTGGAACGAAGACGCAAGTTTCAAGACCAGCAGATTTGGGAGAAAGCAAAATTTTGCGATGATTTAGCCACTGAACAGGACGAAAGGGATGACCGTTCAAGCAAATCATTACGGGCTTCAGCGATACAAACGAAAACAACAACCGAACCGGCGGACACAACAAAATCGACTGACAAGACCCACGTACTGACCAACACGGCTGTACAACCTGGCATCCGACATAAACAGAACAAAGGACACAACAAGAAGATCCGAAGAGTTATTGCCACTCTAAGGAAAGACCTCGAACAAATCAACAAAGAGCTCGAGTCAGGGAAACCAGCTCTCAAAAGAAAGAACAAAGCCCACAAGACAGAATGAAGAACATCCCACAGGAATACCGGAAATACGACAAACTCTTCAAGGAAGAACTCGAGACAGGGTTACCCGAACACAGTCAATGGGACCACGAAATTTGTCTCAAAGATGGAAGAACGCCGACGTTCCATAAGATTTACAACCTAAACGAAAGACTAGTTGTCGACTACAGACGCCTAAACGATATTACAATGAAGGACCGAACACCATTACCGCTTATATCGGAACTACGAGATCGACTGCACGGCAAAAAATGGTTTACGGCCCTCGATCTCAAAGGCGCCTACAACTTAATACGCATGAAAAAGGGACACGAATGGATGACAGCTTTCAGAACGAAATTCGGACTATTCGAATATCTGGTAATGCCATTTGGACTCACAAATGCACCAGCTACCTTCCAACGGATGATCAACAATGTCCTACGCGAACACTTGGACATCTTTGTGGTAGTATACCTGGATGATATCCTAATCTTCTCGGACACCCTAGAAGAACACAAGGAACACGTCCACAAGGTACTCCGCGCACTTCAGAATGCGAAGTTACTGGTTGAACCAGAAAAAAGCAAGTTCCACACACAGGAAGTAGATTTCCTCGGACACACGATCTCACCAGGAGAGATACGAATGCAACAAGACAAGATCAACTCAGTCAAAGAATGGCCAACGCCAAAGAACGTCAAGGACGTACAAAGTTTCCTAGGATTTGCGAATTACTACCGACGATTCATCAAAGATTTCGGAAAGATTGCAACACCACTACACGACTTAACGAAGAAGGAAAAAGAGTTTACATGGGACGACAAAGCCAACGAAGCTTTCGAATGCATCAAAACGACGATTACGCAAGAACCGGTCTTAACCACCTTCGATCCAGAACGACAAATCGAACTCGAAACCGATGCATCAGACTTTGCTCTAGGAGCACAAATCGGACAGAAGGACGATGAAGGAAGACTACGACCAATTGCATTCTACTCGAAAAAGCTACATGGCGCAGAACTCAATTACCCCATCTACGACAAAGAATTCCTCGCAATCATTCAAGCTTTTAAGGAATTTCGACACTACCTTCTCGGAAGCAAACACAAAATCAAGGTCTACACAGATCACAAAACATCTCACATTTCGCGACGACGCAACAATTGAACGGACGACAGATCCGATGGGCCGAATGTCTATCAGAATTCGACTACGAAATAATCCACAGAAAAGGAACGAAAACGGTCGAGCTGATGCCTCAGCCGACGATCCGACTACGACACAGGAGCACCTATTGTGAAAGGACAACTCCTTGAGCTCAACAATGAAGGGAATATGCAACAACGACAGCTTAACGCAATCTTCAAGGTCAATCCAGACGAAGGCCTTACGAAGAAGATCCAACAAGCCTACGATAAGGTTGATTGGGAACCACTTCCAGTTGTTTGGGAAGATGGCCTGGCAAAGCATCAAGGAAAGATCTTTGTACCAGAAGAACTTCAGGACGAAGTTATACGCGAAATTCACGAACACCCGACACACGGACACCAAGGAATCCGGAGGACGATGGAAAGAATTCGACGAATCTACGACTTTCCACGGATGAAGAAACGAATCAGCGAAACTATCAGAAAATGCGAACTTTGCGCACGAAGCAAAGCTGAACGACACAAGCCATACGGAGAATTACAACCACTACCAGTACCAGAAAAACCATGGGATTCAATAGCTTTCGACCATGTCACGAAGCTACCACTGTCAAAGAACCCATGACCAACGTCAAGTACGACAGCATATTCGTCATTACCGACAGATTGACGAAGTACGGATACTTCTTGCCGTACAAAGAAGCAAGCAATGCAGAAGAGCTAGCATATGTGTTCCTACGAACTATTGTCAGCAATCACGGACTACCGAACGAGATTGTCTCTGACAGAGGAAGCACATTTGTGGCCAAGTTTTGCAAGCTCTCATGGCACAATTGGGGACGAAACATAAGCTCAGCACAGCTTATCACCCACAAACAGATGGACAAACAGAACGACTCAACCAAACGCTTGAACAATATTTACGATGCTACATCAGCTACGAACAAAACGATTGGGTTAAATGGCTACCGACGGCACAACTAGCTTACAACAGCTCAGTCACAGAGACAACCAAGCTCTCACCAGCATACGCCAATTACGGATACAACCCAGAAGCATTCAAGGTCACTCGACAAGGACCACAAGCGGAACGAGCGATACTGCAAGCAGATCAGCTACGAAAATTGCATGAAGAAATGCAACAAGAACTTCAATTCGTCAGAGAACGAATGTCCACTCACTACAATCGGAAAAGATTGCAGGGACCAATCTTTCGAGAGGAGACATGGTCTACCTCGTACGACGAAACATCAAAACAAAACGACCAAGCAACAAATTGGATTTCAAGAAACTTGGACCGTTCAAAGTCAAGAAAACCATTTCAAAAGTCAACTACGAACTTTCGCTACCAACAACAATGCGGATACAC